ACTCGTGTCGTAAACAGTCTGACATGGTCACATATGACCTATAATATCCTCTATGTATAAACACACTCATACATATACTGGACGAATATTGTGGCATGCAGCATTAACCAACCATCAAACAAACACAACACTGGTATTCAATACCAGAGGAATATTGCGACATGCAGCGTTAACCAACCATCAAACAAACACAACACTGGGATCCAATACCGGAGGAATATTGCAGCATGCGGCGTTAACCAACTATTAAACAAACAAAACAACATGGGTGTCTACTCTGTAGGCAATACATAATTACTATGACAAAAAAGGAAGCGTATATCTCTTGCATTAGGTATACCTAGGTGCGATCTCGCTATTTACAACCAGCACCGGTGCATGTTAAATATGGCTGGTGCAGGTTACCATCAGTAACAGGTTGCACTCGGTGCAGGTAACAATATATCTTCCTGCATCTTATAGCTGCCATCATGTGTTTTAATTAGGAAGTCAATGACTGTAAGTGATACGTTTCCCTCCGCATGACTTGCTACAAGCATAAACACGTGTGTACTCTTACATCAGCTACGTATGAAAGTGATCAGATTATAAGTGAGTCAGTGAGTTTAGTTTTACGCCGCACTCAGCAATATCCCAGCTATATGGCGGCGGTCTGTAAATAATTGAGTCTGGACCAGACAATCCAGTGATCAACAGCATGAGCATCGATCTGCGCAATTGGGAACCGATGTCATGTGTCAACCAAGTCAGCGAGCCTGACCACCCGATCCCGTTAGTCGCCTCTTACGACAAGCATAGTCGCCTTTGATCAGAATATAAAGATTGATAAATGAAGGTAGGAGCCCGTTCTTAATTCAGTGGCATTGATTGAACATGGACATTTGGTGAGTTGTTGTCAGTCTGACAATCTATCAGTTTGGAATCTTTCCCTAGGCCATGAGTTTAGTTAATGAGACGATCGCTTTCCTAAAAACATCACTAATCCTGTACAGTCTGCCTGCATAGTGAGGATAAACCTTCATGGCATGGCCAATGCTGATGATTTCAAGAGGGGGGATGGGGGTGAGTCATCAGTTTTGTACATAGAAATATTTTGCAATAAATATCATGTAGAAACAAATATCATGAAGTGGAAAATATTCACATATGTGAAACAAATATTACAACAAATTAGAATAAATTATATTTAATCTAGAACGGTGTCGGGTATTACTGAACAAGCGGCTATCATCGAACAAAATTCTATTTCCGTATATTTTTCTCAATTTGCTGGTATTTACAGCTTTTTCTGAGCGTGTAGCGTGAGAACTTTCAGAGAATCTTACAGTTCATTTTCACCCGTTTCCACGAGAGTTTCAATAGTCATTACAAAAACTTCGGGACATAAGGAAGAGGAGGAGAGGGTGTGCCCGCACCCCTGCCAATTATATACAGGGAAATACAACAGAACATGTCTTTCACCCTCAACACCCTCACTACACGGAAACATACCCTCTCATTCACATTCACATTTGTATATCTGCCGGTTTCCAAATGCAGAGGAGCAGTACCTGATCTGAATTTGGAGAAGGCAGAGCGGTATGAACGGGGCATACTCATACTCGCGTAACTTTCACAGCCATACACATCCTTAAACATTCCATGCGATCGTAGTTTATTACCTCCCGTTCTACCGCTTGGCTTGGTACTAACTCCACCAACCACTCACATAGTTCTACATACAAATATCTCGCACACACTTACATACACGTTTAACACTAACAACAGCTTCCACACTCAGGCCCCATTCATTTAACCTTGCTTTAATTCGAACATTCCAATTTTTCACACGTCCACTCGCACATCACACCACATAAAAACAGACTTGTTTTTTCTGAAAGACATTTTTCTAAAACGACAGTATTGTCTAGCAATACACACCCATTGTCTAACAATTGGAGGGATCCACTCCATGTCCCCATTCACAGCAACGTTAGAAGCATACCCAACCCAAAAAAACATCTTAAAGAACGATGGTGGACAGCATTTGCAGCGGAAACCTCCCGATGACCCCAGATAGAGTGAGTGAGTGAGTTGAGGTTTACGCCGCACTCAGCAATATCCCAGCTATATGTCGGTGGTCTGTAAATAATCGAGTGTGGACCAGACAATCCAGTGATCAACAGCATGAGCATCGATCTGCGCAATTGGGAACGGATGACATGTAGTCAACCAAGTCAGCGAGCCTGACCACCCGATCCCGTTAGTCGCCTCTTACGACAAGCACAGTCGCCTTTTGTGGCAAGCACCGGTTGCTGAAGACCTATTCTTCCCCGGATCTTCACGGGTACCCCAGATAGAAGTCAAAGGTAGTTAATCTCACGACTTTGGTGAGAGGGCACTCTGCTGACTGCCCCACCTTGCACGTCATGTATCAGGCACCATTATGTTATTTAGTTACTAAAATTTCAGTCACATAAATCAATTTTAGCCGATACTAAAAGTGCCATAAGGACCAAATGAATGTTAGTCTTAAACAACACGTTTCTTGGTTCTCTTAATTGGACCATGAACATGATTTTTTAAGAATCTGTAACAATTCCGTTATTATCACTACAGTCCATGTTCAAATAAACAATTTGCATGAAAAATTACCCCTCAACCCCCATAAGAAAATACATACATGTCAGTTATGTAAAAGATCAAATAATAATTACTACATAGCTACACAATTTTGCAGAGCATGGGCGATAGTAGGAATGTGTTGCAATTAGTAATATTTTAAACCCAAATAAACGAATCGTAAAAACGCATACCTTACCATCAACCGATAAATGCTATAATAATGTTATAATGTTAATGATTTTGCACCAATGTATGCGTTTATCTTTTGAAAAGGTGACAAATTTTGTCTTCAAACAAATGACGAGAAGTCGATCGAATGATCGTCTGTAATGTAATAGTAAATCGTGAAATATATTCATCCTATTTTTTTATATGTAAGAAACGTATCTTAAAACGTATCTTTTTATCAATACAAATGTACATGTATTATCATATTTGACAAGATACCGAGAAAATACAATTCATGTTTGCTGCTTTTTATACAGGAACAGTACTCGAGTATCAGGGTTATCCCGAAGAGATAAAAAAATATCAGTTGTAACATAGCGTACCGTGACTTGTTTGGAATTTGGGACTGTTTGGAATAGCCCAACATGACTGTTTGGAATAGCGTGATAAGGGTGTTCAGAATAGCCCGACATAACTGTTTGGAATAGCCTGACAAAGGGTGTTTGGAATAACCCGACATGGCTGTTTGGAATAGCACGACATGACTGTTTGGAATAACCCGACAAGGGTGTTTGGAACAGCCCGACATGGCTGTTTGGAATAACCCGACATGGCTGTTTGGAATAGCCCGACATAACTGTTTGGAATAACCCGACATGGGTGTTTGGAATAGCCCGACATGACTGTTTGGAATAACCTGACATGACTGTTTGGAATAACCCGATATGGCTGTTTGGAATAGCCCGACATAACTCTTTGGAATAACCCGACAAGGGTGTTTGGAATAGCACGACATGACTGTTTGGAATAGCCCGACATGACTGTTTGGAAAAGCCCGACATGACTGTTTGGAATAACCCGACAAGGGTGTGTGGAATAGCCCGACATGACTGTTTGGAATAGCCCGACATGACTGTTTGGAATAACCCGACATGGCTGTTTGGAATAGCCCGACATGACTGTTTGGGATAGCCCGACATGACTGTTTAGAATAACCCGACAAGGGTGTTTGGAATAGCACGACATGGATGTTTGGAATAACCCGACATGGCTGTTTGGAATAACCCGACAAGGGTGTTTGGAATAGCACGACATGGGTGTTTGGAAAAGCCCGACATGGATGTTTGGAATAACCCGACAAGGGTGTTTGGAATAACCCGACATGACAGTTTGGAATAACCTGTTTGAATAAGACATGGCTGTTTGGAATAACCTGACATGGGTGTTTGGAATAACCCGACATGACTGTTTGGAATAACCCGACATGGGTGTTTGGAATAGCCCGACATGACTGTTTGGAATAGCCTGACATGGGTGTTTGGAATAGCCCGACATGACTGTTTGGAATAGCCCGACATGGCTGTTTGGAATAACCCGACATGGCTGTTTGGAATAACCCGACATGACTGTTTGGAATAGCCTGACATGGCTGTTTGGAATAGCACGACATGACTGTTTGGAATAGCCTGACATGACTGTTTGGAATAGCACGACATGGCTGTTTGGAATAGCCCGACAAGGGTGTTTGGAATAGCACGACATGACTGTTTGGAATAGCCCGACATGACTGTTTGGAATAACCCGACATGGCTGTTTGGAATAGCACGACATGGCTGTTTGGAATAACCCGACATGGCTATTTGGAATAGCCTGACATGACTGTTTGGAATAACCCGACATGACTGTTTGGAATAGCACGACATGGCTGTTTGGAATAACCCGACATGGCTATTTGGAATAGCCTGACATGACTGTTTGGAATAACCCGACATGACTGTTTGGAATAACCCGACATTATTGTTTGGAATAATCCAAGAAGGCTGTTTGGACGAGTCGACAAGATTTAAAAAAAGAAGAAAATTTGATAATGTGAAATATCTAATAGCAAAATGATTGGTAGACAAGTCTTACTTGCCTTTATGTGTATTTGATTCCCGGTTCTTTTTCAGTATTGCTTATTGCTTCATATAATAAAACACAACAGGAATTAGGCGGGGTATGGTGTTAGCTGTTCGGTAATACCCCGCACCGAGCTACACAAGAAGGGGGAATCCTGCTTGAATGATTTTTCACATTTTGTCGAAACACTCGATTCTGAGTCGTTTCCTCAGAGCTTTCACTGTGACATATTCACATCAACTACTGTGATAATTTCAATATATGAATAATTGTGTGTGGATTCAAAAACCTTTTTTCGGTATGAAAAATCAATAAAAGCTAAAAAAATCTGGTTTTGAAACAATTTTTACATTTTGTGTGTTCACTTCTTCTGTGTCCCTTGACTTGCATCACACGTCATTAGAATCATTTACTGTCGGACAATTACATCGTCTACAGCAATAGTTTCATCATACTGATATTCATGTGAGTATTTAAAATGTTTTCCAGTCTCAGGAGAACCCAGGAAAGTGGTGAAAGCAGACATTCGAAGAACTTGGTTGTATTTTGTACACAACAAACAGAACACAAACCGAACCCTTCTATGTCCGCTTCACTCACTTTCCTTGAAACAGTTGATAGAAATATCTCCGTTACACAGATAAGTTCACACAACCCCATGGCTGACTTCACACAGTCTCATGGCCGATTTCACAGTTTCATGGCCAGTTAATTTTCTATTTCAGCGCTTGGTAGATGAGAGCCATCTTTGTGTCAGTCATGTCGATGTCCTCCCCGCTGATCAGACTCATGGACGCAGTGTGGCCAGGATACGGCGTCCCAACACTAAACATGGGGACGAGTGGCTCACTGAACTCAACATCATACTTGTCTAGAACAACCTGTCTGTCCAGGTCAATGAATGCCACTCGTCCCCTCCCCACATCCAGTACAACGCCATAGTGGAGGGTGGCCTGTGTGCCGGGAGTGTCGGACATGGTGTTCTGGTGACACTCGCCATCCTTCCCCTCCCTACACACCCTGGTACAGATCCTCCACCCGTGTCTGTAACAGCTGTCTACACGGACACACCAGGAGCGGCGCTGTAGAGAAACATACATCCCACTGTCCATCTGTCCTGCCTCACACAGTCCCATCTCCAGGACTAGCGGGTACAGCTCATCACCCACCACCCTCACCCTGGTTTCTGTCTCCCAGTATCTGGGGGTGGTGGGTAGGGGTGTGAGGGTGGAGGAGGATGGAGGAAGGGGGGTGGGGGAGCTACAGGTCCCCGGGTACCTCTGTAGTCTGTTCTGCCCCACATCCCGTGTGTCGGGCGGCGAGTTAACTAGCTGACCGTCTGTAGTTACGTGGCACCTCCTTGTGTTCGCCCGAGCCGCGTCCAGGTGGAGTTTAGGACCTGGAAATAAACATTGTATTTGTTGTGTAGCAAGTTTATTTCACTGTTTGTCACAAACTGAGACACAGAAAGATATTTACTAAAATATCGGCTGATTGTGGATTGTTTCCAAACAGTGCGCTGAATGTTCGTCTGTGTTTTTCATCCGTGTAGAATATCTCCCACTACTGAGCTATATTAGCGCGCTAATTATTACGTAAAAATATTACTACGAGAATTCAAAATGCATTTCATTAAGAAACAAGTGGATTAGTTTACAGAAAAACGTAATATAAAAGAATTTTTAGTACACTTCTGATTTACCCCCATTGTTGTGATATCTGCCGGACGTGGACGATGTTCGGGAGTAATATACGATCTCAGTAAGTGAATTTCTCAACAAAAGTGTTTGTGTGTAGATTCTATATGAATCTGTCACATTATATAAACAAATAAACTTAACAGTATCGTGTTTTAGGTTAGTTTTGACATTTCTGTGTTCATCATACACCACATGAACAGGTAACTTCTATGTCCGCTTCAGTCACTTTCACAGTTACACCGTCAGTCAGTGTGTCGCGATATGTTTACTAAAGCTGGTCAGAGATGGATGTCCAAACTTTGACAACTTTCTACGTTATTCAAGTGTTGAAAGAAGCAGTTCTATGGTTTTATAATTGTACTGACATCAGTAACGCCGACAGATGTGTTTTACAGCAATGAAGACGGTTGAGGAAATAGCACACATGTTTTACTTCGTTCTGTTGTTTGAACATTTCACTTGTATCAGGGATGGAAAGTTGAATAGGCTGTGTAAAATTAACTCATAACCCAATATATTTGAAATATATTTTACATGAACTGGTTGCAACTGTGTCCACTCTTTCACTGATAGACGGTCACAGTCTCGTTGAGCGAGTTGAGGTCGCGCACTGCGCGTGCGCGCGCGTGTGTGCGTGTGTTTAGTTAGCCGATGGTATTACACACTATCACAAGTGATGTTTATCAAATTCACGCTTGTTTAAATCTCGTAGACAAAACAGACTCGACTTTGCGAGCGAGCGAGTTTAGTTTTACGCCACTTTTAGCAATATTCCAGCAATATTACGACGGGGACACCAGAAATGGTCTTCACACTTGTACCCATATAGGAGTCGAACCCAAGTTTTCAGTGTGACAAGCGAACGCTTTAACCACTCAGGCTTCCCACCACCAGACCTGACTTTGACTTGAGGTCCGACCGCGACTAGAGCACCCGATTTTCGTTATTAGTTATTTGGTCTATATAATCTATCTTTTGAACCATGCCTTGTCTGTGAACATCATCGAGATTTATTTATCTAAATGCTGATGATACACCTTTACTGAACATTATTGTTTTAGAAAAGTAAAAATGTGCGAATTTAGAATTATCAGCACCGACACTAAGTCTTTTAATTTATTCAAAGTGAAAAAGTACCTGGTACCAGTAGAACAGTTCTCCTCACTCCAGGGAACTAACATGAAGTGGATACATAAACCACAAGCAGGAATGCCCTCGCTGTTTAAGAATATATATTTTCCTAACCTGTGGCACGACAATTAACAAGTTCTTTTTCTAGAATTCTCATTTCTGAAAATAGTCGAAGTGGGTGGACATCAATAAACTAATTGCGAACTAACGACTTAAATGTCTGGGCAAAACATTTCGAGAAATTATCGATTACTACGTACAGAAGACTCTGTTTGAGAATAAAGATGTGAGCTGTCTCCCAAAGTTGCAGATTGGCTGTTCCTTGGTGGAATAAGCAGTATGAGCTATCTATTACCTATAAAACTGAACTTGTTTCAGAACATGCAAATACGCATGCACAGTTTTAGAAAACCCTCTAGAATAACAATCTCTGGGGTTTACACTACGTATCCCTTCTCATCTAGCAGGCACGTACTTCTTCAAATCTTTGGTAATGATGGGAGGTTCAAGGCCGGAAACTAAATTCGCGACGTTTCTCGGTTGAATGAGCGAAGCCTTCGCGGTACTTGCAATACAATGTTATGGCTGAATGAACATAGCCGTCTCAACTCAGAGGCTCACACAAATTACAAGTAAATCAGGATCAACGTGAATACTCTCTCATTTGGGAACGTATAAAAATATCAATAAACTTATTTACACCTTTTCAGGTCTATTCTTCACATACTTTTCTTTAATTCGACATCAAATTATCATTCCCATATTGACACTATATAAACCCGTTGTAGGTTTCCATTACAATAACATACCGTCAATGTACTTCAAGTTTACGAAAAATTGAGCAGTTTGGACACGTGGAAATGTACCTAAAACACTGCGTTGGGATCTATTGAGTAACGCTGTAACCACTAGACTGCCCCACCGCCCCGACATTTTATATCTGCAAACGGTACTTTGTGTTCTTGAATAACCTGCAGTTTGTAATCTGCGCCAGAATCGGAGTATTTCAATTCTTAGCTTTGTTTGTACGGAGGTCTAGCCCATATCACCACGGGCAGCCTAAATTGGTTTTTCATGCCAACTGCTAAGCAAAAATCTACAGGCTCGATTCTGTACAGCATTGATACAATTGAATTCTTTAGTGCCCCAAATTGCCGACCCATATGATAAGACAGGCTCAACGAGATTCTCATACAAAGAATTAAAAACATTATAAACAAAACCACCCGCTGCTCTGAATATTATATAACACTATAATAATTATAACACTAAGTGTTCTATTTGCAAATTTAGCTGATTCCCTTAGGTAAAATTTAAATCTTAATCTTCTTGCAACGAGACACCTTAGTATTTATAAGCGTGGGTATTCATTGAAGATAAATAGCTCTAAAATAATCTGTACACGCTACTAAATAAAATTCACTCTATTATAACAATGTTTTTAGCAGAAATTACCCTATTCATAGATCTATCTACTCCTGACTTGGATTACGCTTCCCGGTAATTATTCAACGTAACCTTTATGTGATATTTGGGATTACACTTTCTAGTAAAGTACAGATTCTAGTACTTTTGCTAGGTTTATTCGGGATTCGAACCCACACCCTCAGAGTCAGGCACCTAATCGCCAGCACACAAAGCCGCCTAACCCGCTAATCCACCGTGACTTCCACATCCCGGACGGGACTCAACCAAACAAAAGTACTAGAATCTGTACTTTACTAAGAAAGTGTAATCCCAAATATAACATAGGTTACATTTGACCACTTTCTTTATGGCACTGTATAATCAATTATTCACCGTATCTTTAGCATTGGCGGTATTCCCCTACTCCCTGGGATATCCGAAATATATATTTTAGCCTTCGCGGCACGACAGCGATGAGTCAGTGAGTGAGTTGAGTTTTACACCGCACTCAGCAATATTCCAGCTATATGGCGGCGGTCTGTAAATAATCGGGTCTGGGCCAGGTAATCCAGTGATCAACAGCATGAGCATCGATCTGCGCAAATGTGAACCGATGATATGTGTCAATCAAGTAAGCGAGCCTGACCAACCGATCCCATTAGTCGCCTCTTACGACAAGCATGGGTTACTGAAGGCCAATATTCTAACCCGGACCTTCACGGGTGACGACAGCGATGAGAACAGGTATGACACACATACACTCTGCTGCAGTGATTAAAGCTCGGAAACTACGTCTCGCCTCGGTGGATGATGAAGACCGGTTATCCTCTGGCTTCTTCATATTTTGTATCAACTTCTACTGGGTTGATGTAACTGTTGGTGGGCTGACGTCCTCTTATGTCCATCTGAATCGGTGTATCGGTTGGATACTGGAGACTGGTTATTGTCTGGTGTTGGCTTAAATTATCTGTTTTGTTTTATTTGACGTTTGGACCAACCTTTGGAAATGCTAAATTACTACGCCCGTATATGGCAAAAGATAGCTTTCTGACCATTTTAAAAGTTTGGACATATATGTTTTATCTATTGGGTGCCTTTTGCATGTTTTACTTGATGTATTAACTTAATAGAATGGAATCGGATGATACGGTGACCTGGATCATTAGCAACCACGATATCTCAACAGTTTCTTTGATTCACTGTTGTGTTGTTTAAAGAACGTTCAGTCATCCCATCACTTGTTCTCGGAAATACTTACATGAAACCAGAAGAGGTCGTCGTGTCAGTCCAACAACGTGTACACTGCTTCCATAATCTGAAAGGTGAGAGTCAAATGTCTGAACATATTTAGGTAGTGTCTGGTATGAAACACTTTGCACTGTTTGCCAATGGACGTACATAGAATTTGTTTTGGGACTTCACAGATAATAATCACGATATAACATAATATAGATTATTTTTTATTCCCTAGCAAATCATTCATTATATTGTCTAAAAAATATTGTGTCTTGTCCCCTGGAAAGGCAACAAAACCTAACCATAACCAAAGCAAATCTCTGCTAAAAGCTGTGTCTGTTATACCCATACCCTTCTGATTATATCATAAGTAAAAGTGTGTGTGTGTGTGTGTGTGTGTGTGTGTGTGTGTGTGTGTGTGTGTTTCTATTTGAATCCCTTTCAAATATAACTAACATCGCAAACCCTTCCCTTTCAAGTTTAAAGCAAGAGAAAACTGTGATGTTAAAATATACACTTCAACATACAATGCATAAAACAGTTTGGTAGTGGTTTGCAACAGATCGAAATATCTAGTACACACGGACGTTTCTACGAACATGTAGACTGGTTGACGACAATAGAAAATACACATCAATATGTATGTGTAAATGTCTTCTTATATACTCCCACGTGAACATGTTTTATTTAATGTGTATTATACATTATTACCTATATGGGGAAGGAGGACACGGGGTGTATTATACACATACTTATATGGGAAGGAGGACACGGGGTGTATTATACATTATTACCTATGTGGGAAGAAGGACACGGGGTGTATTATACATTATTACCTATATGGAAACGAGGACACGGGGTGTATTATACATTATTACCTATATGGGAAAGAGGACACGGGGTGTATTATACATTATTACCTATGTGGGAAGGAGGACACGGGGTGTATTATACATTATTACCTATGTGGGAAGAAGGACACGGGGTGTATTATACATTATTACCTATGTGGGAAGGAGGACACGGGGTGTATTATACATTATTACCTATATGGGAAGGAGGACACGGGGTGTATTATACATTATTACCTATGTGGGAAGGAGGACACGGGGTGTATTATACATTATTATCTATGTGGGAAGGACGACACAAAGTGTATATATACATTATCACCTATATGGGAAGGAGGACACATGGGAAGGAGGGGGTGTATTATCACATTATTACCCATGTGGGAAGAAGGGACAACAGAGTGTATTATACATTATTACCCTATATGGGGAAGGAGGACACTGGGAAGCTGAGGACATACACACACCTATATGGGAGGACACATTATACATTATCACACATTATTACCCATATGGAAGGAGGACACGGGTGCATTATACATTATGAGGACACCCATATGGAAGGAGGACACATTATACACACACCCATAGGGAAGGAGGACATTATACCATGGGTGAATTATATTAGACATTAAACCATATGGGAAGGAGGACACGGGTGCATTATACACACACCCATATGGAAGGAGGACACGGGTGTGTATTATACACACACCCATGTGGGAAGGAGGACACGTGCACATCACCCATGGGAAGGACACGGGATTATACATTATCACACCCATATGGGAAGGAGGACACCTGGGTGACACACACATCCATGGAAGGGACACACACAAGTGGAGGAGGAGACACACACGGAAGGAGGACACACAAGGACGAGGACACACACATGGGAGGAAGGACATTGACACACATGGAGGACACACGACAAGGAGGACACACACACAGTGGACATGGACACATGACACATGGAGGACACACAGGAAGAAGGACACGACACACAGGACACACATGAAGGAGGAACACACACACATGGAGGACACACACACACATGGAGGACACAGAGGAACACACAAGACACACACACATGGACACACACACAGAGACACACATGGAGAGACAAGGACACCGAACACACAGATGGAGGACACAGCACAGACACACACACGGAAGACACAGACATGGACAGACACACACAGGAGGACACACACAGGACACACACACGTGGTGCACACACGGAGACAAGGAAATGAACAGGAAATAGCCACAGCCAACTGAAAGGAACACAGCAACCCCACACCACAGAGCAACAGGATCCCGACCGAACAACGGAGGAACACACAGAAGACCCCAGCCCCACATGGATCTCAACCAATGTCAAGACTATAACGGATCGGGTCAGGCCGGACACCATGACACACAAGGATGGACCCACTTGAGACGGAGGCACTACAGATCAGAAGACCAGACGGACAGACAGGCACAACATGAAAACCACATGGACAGAAGCAACCCCTGAACGACCGATCCCAAGCCAAAAGGAGACCACCAATGGACCGAGACAGGATGACACAGAACACAGAGCCCCAACGACCGGATCAGGCAGACGACCCAGACAACACACAGTGGATCCGAACCAACCAAGACAGTGAACACATGGAGGAACCCCAGCCACATCCAACCACAGGCAGGCAGGAGAGATAACCGAAGACATCCCCACACACACACCACAGGCAAACACATGAGGCAGGCACGGATGAGGCACGCAGGCAGTGAGGTACGAGACAAAGGCACTGCAAGGCAGTGAGCACACAGACAGGCATATAGCTTAAGGAACATGGACCTTTGAACAGGCATACAGGATACATAGAAAACCAACACGACGGAATAGAACGAAAATACAGACACAGAGGGTCCATTTAAATGAAATAATACATGGAATTAGAAATGATAATATAATATAAAATAGGTTGTAGATTACAGAATGACTGGAAGGACACCATATTTGGACCATGGAGACATAGTAGATGAAAGCCTTTGTATGGAAGTGGATGGAGACACGGACCCTTAGCTGCCAGTGTGGATAATGAAGAAGGAATACATATGAAGGATAGAACGAAGGAATGAATGGAATGGACTTATGGACACACATGAAGAGGAAGCACATTTTATGAACTTTGTGAAGTGTTTAACAGCCACTTATAAAGGAAGTATGGAATGAATGAAATGGAGCCCAACGAAAATGGAGGAACTGGAGTATATAAAGACTTAGAAATGGATGGAAGGATCTTGTGGATGGAAGAGCTTAATGGAAGATATGGACAGGATCTTATCACAGTGGATACAAAATGGAGGGATCTTCGCCTTTCAATAAATATTCGTGAGTATATCTGGTATGGCCAATGCGACATCGTCGCATAATCGACCTCTTCAAATCTGGACTGACAACCCAAGTAGGTGTAACCAATGTAGGGTTTTATTGCATGTAATTTATTAATACCTACTTGGCGTGTCCACTTCTTTTGCATTAGATCGCGGATGTATCTTCTAATGCTGGCTTTATAATCAGAGTATGGGATAAGAAGTGGTGTCACAGATTTGTTGAGGGCTGCCTTAGCAGCAATATCAGCCATTGTGTTCCCAGAAATGCCAACGTGGCTGGGTAACCAACAAAAAGACGATGTCGCATTGGCCAGTAGCAAGTTCATTGTACAATTCAAGAATTTCTAATAAAGTGGATGTTTTAAAGAAAGATTTCTAATCGCCTGAAGGCAAGAAAGAGAGTCAGAAAAGATGATATATTGTTGATATTTACGGTGTGAGTTAAATATTATTTTAAAAGCTGTTAATATGGCGTTAGCTTCCGCCGTGAAAATAGAGCTGTTATCAGGCAATCGAGATGATATTGTTTTGGACCCAATGACAGTGGCAACAAGCTACAGCGCCACCATCCTTGGATCCATCTGTATATAAGGATTTATATGTAGTATATTTATTTTTAACTGACTAAATTCTTGTTTATACTGTAACTCATTAGTTTCTGATTTTTTTAAATGTGGTCAAAGTTAGGTCAACTTGGGGCCCAACCAGTTGCCAAGGAGGAGAAGAAAGAAGACGGGAAGGAGCTATCTTTTTCAAGCTCAATGCCGGCAGCAGACAGGGAAGGGCTTAATTCTGTGCCCAAGAGGCGGAACGGAAAGAGAAGGTTTTTTGTTGTAGAAATCCTCATAGAGGGATGAAAGACACAGTTATATGCAGGGTTAGACTCATTAGAAAATAGTTTAGTAATATATTGTAAAGATAATTTGATACGGCGTTGTGCAAGAGATGGCTCATCTGCCTCGACGTAGAGACTGTCAACAGGAGAAGTTCGAAAGGACCCAAGACAAAGTCTCAGACCTTGGTGGTGGACAGAATCTAAAAGTTGTAGGGTTGCTTTTTGCAGGCTCCACCATATATGATGGAGCCATAATCAAGTTTGGAACGTACCAATGATCGATACAGATGTAAGAGGGTAGCTTGATCCCTCCCCACTTAGAATTTGAAACGACTTTCATCAAGTCAAGTGCCTTCAGGCATTTAGTTTAGGATTTAATATGCGGCAGAAATGTTAAATGAGAGTCAAAAAATTAGACCTGAAGAACTTGGCCTCCCTTTAACAACTTTGATGGGAGTGCCATTTAAAGATAGTTCTGGGTCGTTATGGGGTTTGTATTTACGGCAGAAATGAATACAATTAGTTTTGGATTTAGAGAATTTAAATCCGTTTCCAGAACACCATTTATGTATTTTGTTTAAACACAACTGCAGTTGCCGTTCAATAGTATGCATATTTTTCCACGACAAGAAATATTAAAATCATCCACAAATAATGATCCATCGATTGAATCAGTTAAAACCTTGGATAAACTGTTGATTTTAATACTAAACAGGGTGACAGACAAAATACTGCCTTGTGGGACACCCTGATCCTGATTATAATGATCAGACAGGGTTGAACCCACCTCGGACTTGAAATTGTCTATCATTTAAAAAGTTGGATATAAATAGAGGCAAACGGCCTCGTAATCCCAAATCATGTAAATCTCTTTAAAATGCCATATTTCCACGTTGTGTCATATGCCTTCTCAAGATCAAAAAAAAAAGATAGACACAGCGTGTTGTTTATTAATTAGAGCGTTTTTAACAAACGATTCCAAACGCACCAAGTGATCGACAGTACTTCTGTTTTACGGAAACCACATTGTATATCTGTTATGAGGTTATTTGCTCCAAGCACCAAACAAGTCGATTATTGATCATTCGTTCCATGGTTTTGCAAACACAGCCAGTTAGTGAAATAGGTCGATAATTGGACGGATCAGTATGATCACGTCCAGGTTTAGGTATTGGTACTACTATAGCGTCACGCCATGAGGGAGGAAATTTACCTAATGTCCAAATTCCCCATCAAAAATATTTAAAAGAGTTTCTAGGCAGGGTTCTGGTAAGTGCTTCAGGAGTTGATAATGTATGTTATCAGCACCTGTAGCAGTATCATGAGCTTGCTCAAGAGCAGTATGGAGTTCATAAATAGAAAATGTTTCATTATAATCTTCCCCATTATCTGAATTGAAGTTAATAGTTTTCTTTTCTTGTTGTTTTTGATATTGTTGGAATTTGGGCACATAATTAGAAGAGGAAGAGTGTTTAGCGAGAGTTTCACCAAGTTTATTCGCAATATCTGATTTATTGGTAAGTAATTGATCTCCATTTTTAAGATGATGGACACTAGATTTAGTACCTTTACCTTTAATTTTCTGGACCATGTTCCATACTTTGGACATGGGAGTTCGAGAATTTATTTTTGATACATAATTTTGCCAAGATTGGCGTTTATTCTGTTTAAAGACACGCCGCGCTTTAGCATTTAAAATTTTAAATTTATTCAAATTATGCACCATAGGGTGGCGACGGAAATAATGTTCTGCTTTTTTCCGTGCCTTCCGAGCTTGTTTGCACTCATCATTGAACCATGTTTTTCGAATGTGTGGAATTGCAGAGGACTTTGGAATACACTCCTCAGCTATGGTAGTCAGTTCATCAGAAAAACATGTGATAGCATCAGGAACATCAATAGGGAGGTAAGTAGTTAGGGAGGTAAGTAGGTAGGTAAGGGGGTAAATAGGTAAGGAGGTAAGTAGGTAGGGAGGTACGTAGGGAGGTAAGTAGGTATGCAGGCAGGGAAGTGAGTAGGGAGGGAGGTAAGTAGGTAGGTAGGTAAGTAGGGAGGTAAGTAGGTAGGGACGTAAGTAGTTAGGGAGGTAAGTAGGGAGGGAGGTAATAAGGTTGGGAGGTAAGTAGGTAGGGAGGAAAGTATGGTTGGAATTAAGTAGGGAGGGAGATAAGTAGTGAGGGAGGTGAGTAGGGAAGGAGGTAAGTAGGTAAGGAGGTTAGTAGGTAGGGTGGTAGGTAGGGAGGTAGGTAGGTAGTGAGGTAAGTAGGTAGGAAGGTATTGAGGTAGGGAGGTAAGGAGGTAAGGGGGTAGGGTACGAAGGGAGATAAGCAAGTAAATAGGAAAGTAGGGAGGTAGATCGGTAGGGTGGTATGTAGGTAGTGAGGGACGGAGGAGGTATGTATGTAGGTAGGTAGGGAGGGAGGTATTTAGGCAGGTTGGGGAGAAGGGAGGTATATAGATATGTAGGTAGGTTGGGAGGTAGGGAGGTATGGAGGTTTAAGCAGGTTGGGGAGAAGTGAGGTATATAGGTATGTAGGTAGGTTGGGAAGTAAGGAGGTATGTATGTATGTAGGAAGGTAGGGAGGGAGGGAGGTATTTAGGCAGGTTGGGGAGAAGGGAGGTATATAGGTGTTTAGGTAGGTTTGGAGGTAGGGAGGTATGTATGTAGGTTGGTAGGGAGGGAGGTATTTAGCCAGGTTGTATGTATGTATGTATGTATGTATGTATGTATGTATGTATGTATGTATGTATGTATGTATGTATGTATGTATGTATGTATGTATGTATGTATGTATGTATGTATGTATGTATGTATGTATGTATGTAGAGTAGGTAGGGAGGGACGGACGGAGGTAAGTTGGTAGGTAGGGAAGGAGGTAGGGTTTTCAATGTGAAGGTAGGTAGGTAGGTAGGTAGGTAGGTATCAACCTACGTACCTGTCTCTCTCTTTATTGATGTCACAAATGCTTATTCCGGGCTGAAGATGAGAAGTGGAGGTAAATATGTATATTTTATGCCCGTTTCATTACCCGACTTTCGAACATCATGGGATGAATGTTTAGTTATTCTGGGAAGATAAATGCCAAATCGAGAAAAGGATGTTTATTTTCGCATATATCTTAGTCCCTGCTATTTACCTTCATTGTAATGGCACACAGGTGTTTCTCTGTCAGTCGACCCTGCTGGTATTGTCTGAGCTGGTTCATCAGACCTGGAGCTCTTGTGTGACTTTGCTCTGCCAATTGCCAAAAAAAGATAAAAGCAAATAAAGTATTGAGGGTGATATATTATTACATTTGTAAAGCTGTCCAATGTGCATTGCTTATGCTGCAATTATCCTGATATACAAAAACGTTAGTTGAAGATAACGCCTCGTGTACAAACACATCAGATAGCTTTATAGAGATGGGATAACTGAATGTATTAGTTGAAGATAATACCTCGTGTACAAACACAAAAGATAGCTTTACAGAGATGGGATAACTATATGCATTAATTGAAGATAATGTCTCGTGTACAAACACATAAGCTAGCTTTATAGAGATGGGATAACTGAATGTATTAGTTGAAGATAATGTCTCTTGTACAAACACATAAGACAGCTTTATAGAGATGGGATAACTGAATGTATTAGTTGAAGATAATGTCTCGTGTACAAACACACAAGATAGCTTTATAGAGATGGGATAACTATATGTATTAGTTGAAGATAATACCTCGTATACAAACACATAAGATAGCTTTATAGAGATGGAATAACTATATGTATTAGTTGAAGATAATACCTCGTGTACAAACACATAAGATAGCTTTATAGAGATGGGATAACTATATGTATTAGTTGAAGATAATGTCTCGTGTACAAACACATAAGATAGCTTTATAGAGATGGGATAACTATATGTATTAGTTGAAGATAATACCTCGTGTACAAGCACATAAGATAGCTTTATAAAGATGGGATAACTGAATGTATTAGTTGAAGATGATACCTCGTGTACAAACACATAAGATACCGTTATAGAGATGGGATAACTATAGGTATTAGTTGAAGATAACGCCTCGTGTACAAACACATAAGATACCGTTATAGAGATGGGATAACTATATGTATTAGTTGAAGATAACACCTCGTGTACAAACACACAAGATAGCTTTATAGAGATGGGATAACTATATGTATTAGTTGAAGATAATACCTCGTGTACAAACACATAAGATAGCTTTATAGAGATGGGATAACTATATGTATTAGGTGAAGATAATGTCTCGTGTACAACCACATAAGATAGCTTTACAGAGATGGGATAACTATATGTATTAGTTGAGGATAATGTCTCGTGTACAAACACATAAGATAGCTTTAGAGAGATGGGATAACTATATGTATTAGTTGAGGATAATGTCTCGTGTACAAACACATAAGATAGCTTTATAGAGATGGGATAACTATATGTATTAGTTGAAGATAACACCTCATGTACAAACACATAAGATACCGTTATAGAGATGGGATAACTATATGTATTAGTTGAAGATAACGCCTCGTGTACAAACACATAAGATAGCTCTATAGAGATGGGATAACTATATGTATTAGTTGAAGATAACGCTTCGTGTACAAACACATAAGATACCGTTATAGAGATGGGATAACTAAATGTATTAGTTGAAGATAATGTCTCGTGTACAAGCACATAAGATAGCTTTATAGAGATGGGATAACTGATTGTATTAGTTGAAGATAATAACTCGTGTACAAACACATAAGATAGCTTTATTGAGATGGGATAACTGAATGTATTAGTTGAAGATAATACCTCGTGTACAAACACATAAGATAGCTTTATAGAGATGGGATAACTGATTGTATTAGTTGAAGATAATACCTCGTGTACAAACACATAAGATAGCTTTATAGAGATGGGATAACTAAATGTATTAGTTGAAGATAATACCTCGTGTACAAACACATAAGATAGCTTTATAGAGATGGGATAACTAAATGTATTAGTTGAAGATAATACCTCGTGTGCAAACACATAAGATAGCTTTATAGAGATGGGATTACTGATTGTATTAGTTGAAGATAATAACTCCTGTACAAACACATCAGATAGCTTGATAGAGATGGGATAACTAAATGTATTAGTTGAAGATAATACCTCGTGTACAAACACATAAGATAGCTTTATAGAGATGGGATAACTGATTGTATTAGTTGAAGATAATACCTCGTGTACAAACACATAAGATAGCTTTATAGAGATGGGATAACTAAATGTATTAGTTGAAGATAATACCTCGTGTACAAACACATAAGATAGCTTTATAGAGATGGGATAACTAAATGTATTAGTTGAAGATAATACCTCGTGTACAAACACATAAGATAGCTTTATAGAGATGGGATAACTAAATGTATTAGTTGAAGATAATACCTCGTGTACAAACACATAAGATAGCTTTATAGAGATGGGATAACTGAATGTATTAGTTGAAGATAATACCTCGTGTACAAACACATAAGATAGCTTTATAGAGATGGGATAACTAAATGTATTAGTTGAATATAATACCTCGTGTACAAACACATAAGATAGCTTTATAGAGATGGGATAACTGAATGTATTAGTTGAAGATAATAACTCGTGTACAAACACAAAAGATAGCTTTATTGAGATGGGATAACTGAATGTATTAGTTGAAGATAATACCTCGTGTACAAACACATAAGATAGCTTTATAGAGATGGGATAACTGAATGTATTAGGTGAAGACAATACCTCGTGTACTAACACATAAGATAGCTTTATAGAGATGGGATAACTGATTGTATTAGTTGAAGATAATAACTCGTGTACAAACACAAAAGTTAGCTTTATTGAGATGGGATAACTGAATGTATTAGTTGAAGATAACGCCTCGTGTACAAACACATAAGATAGCTTTATAGAGATGGGATAAGTATATGTATTAGTTGAAGATAATACCTCGTGTACAAACACATAAGATAGCTTTATAGAGATGGGATAACTGATTGTATTAGGTGAAGATAATACCTCGTGTACAAACACATAAGATAGCTTTATAGAGATTGGATAACTGATTGTATTAGTTGAAGATAATAACTCGTGTACAAACACAAAAGATAGCTTTATTGAGATGGGATAGCTGAATGTATTAGTTGAAGATAATACCTCATGTACAAACACATAAGATAGCTTTATAGAGATGGGATAACTGAATGTATTAGTTGAAGATAACGCCTCGTGTACAAGTACATAAGATAGCTTTATAGAGATGGGATAACTGAATGTATTAGTTGAAGATAATACCTCGTTTACAAACACATAAGATATCTTTATAGAGATGGGATGACTGAATGTATTAGTTGAAGATAATGTCTCGTGTACAAACACATAAGATAGCTTTATAGAGATGGGATAACTATATGTATTAGATGCATGAAGCTGGCGTTTTACCTTACCTTTGTCTCGACCATTATTTGTGTTGTCAGATTGTGATGTTGCAGAACCTGATACCTGTATAAAAAGTGATAGACAAGTACATGTTAGAAGTTCCTAATGTTTCACTTGATGTCTTGTTGCCTTTGATTTACATAGTCTAGCACATATTCCCGTGGACTATTTATAACACGGAATCAACAAAAGAGGGCGTTTCAAGGTGTTCATCGGACACATGCATAATGTGATTTTTTTTCTAACCATGTTGTTTAGAGATGAATACACGTGATTAAAGGACAGCGTACATTCTAAAGCTACTACCAATGCATTGTGTGTATTTCTACCAGACCACAGTGGACAAAGAAATAACAAGCATCATGGAAAATGTTAATGAAGTGATTTACATGGTGTAAGGGTCAAGTGGATACTGATATGACTGCAAGGGTAATCCTGATAGGCCTTTATAAATACTTCCAACATCAGCATGGAGTTTCAGCATGAGGTGGATATGTGTAGAGCTTTAGTACATTTCATGTTCTCAACTCATGACAAGAACACATGGTATTCATGTTGCAACTGATTATGTAGTGTGTCGACCGAAACAATGTCGTCATACTTACATCAAGTCTTTTCCTGTTCCTTTTGGAAGGCCCGAACTGTTCCCCAATTTCTTCGTGACCTACTGTTGATACCGCTGATGTACCTTGCACTGAGGTGACACGTCCTGGGAAGGTTGTTTCATGTCTGCCTGGTAAACCCTGAAACTGTTGTCAGAGGCACAAGACTAGTGTTTCCATGCTGACAAATCCTATATTTGAATTCAAATTTTCTTAAGGTACAGGCTTAATGTCATGATTCAGACGTGGATTATAACACACACGCGCGCACGCCAGCACGCACGCATGCACGCACACACTTGCTTTATTGTCAACTAATTGAAATAAAACTGCGTCATTTTGAGAAAATATTGATACTTCACTGTCAGTCTACATAGACAGTACTCACGACTTGAAACCCTGGTATCTCTATGTCTAGCATAGATAAGTCCGCCTTGTGGTTGGCCAGGTATTCCATCACAGCCTGCCACTCCACTGAAGAACAAAATTGTGTATATAGTGTGTATATGATGCACCACGTAATATACTTATCCATAAATAATGCGTCATCAGAAATGAGCCATTGTCTCCTAGGGCAATTGTGGTAGTAGTATTAGTGACAGTGATAGTGGTGGTAATTCTGTATGGGATATTCAGTTACATTTAACCGTTTCTAGAAACTGATTACACACCCGTGTATAATTTGTGGAGTTGTCCTTTTCTACGATCCCTGTCCTGAAACAAAAAAGATATGCAAAAAAACAAAATGACCCAATATATCTATCTACAACAAACGAAAGTAATGAGTATTACAATTAATTAATGGTTATGACTGTTTTCATGCATACAGTGTGTGGTCCAGTGTTAACTGTTGTGAAATCATAAACAGTTAGAAAAGTCTTTACCTTCAGTACGTTGTCCAGTTCTTGATTAAGTGTTTGGATCTCGTCCCAGCCTGCAAACAAACATCAACTATAGGTATGATAAACCATCTCAGTGTACATCTACCTCATCAATTGTATAAACTCACTCTGCATATGTATCTCAATCTGTATCACAACCAATCACTCTGTATATCAACCAGCTCTGCTCAAATCACTAATTAGTAACCCTCAGTAATGTACATCATGATTGTCAATTGTATATACTCACTATGCAGCTATGTATACTCTCTCATTGTTTCAACTCCTTGTATCACTTGTTTGGTAACGGTGTTAGTATCTACTCCGAGGCGACGTGGCATTTATTGTAATAAAGAAGTTGACTATCCACAGAACTTGGTTTTCCTTCATCTTTACAACTTCTAAAATGCCTCTCACAGAAGATACAATAAACCTGTTCTGGGTAACCTTTCAATAGTGAATGACCTAATTACTGAACCGAAATTTGCAGACACAAATTAGAGGAAGCAACCTGCTGCACAGGAAACATCCTGCAGCATTTCATCTTCAAACTAGATACACTTGTTATTGCTCAATGTACTACTGGACAAGCAGAACTAACCTGAAGGACACTCATAGATACTTACGGCTCTCAGGATCTTTTCCATCTGTGTTCTGCATCTCAGTTTCCATATCGTTTATCTGGCCACCTTCCTTCCATACCTGCTGAAATGTATACAGTAATGTGATCTGTGACTGGTTTTATATTCAATGGTATTAGTTGATATGTCAGCTTTCTATAATTCTTATCTTGACAGACTTCAGTTAAAGATAACATACATCTTTCCTAAATATGGAGCAATCAAAACATAATATTAAATATGAAAGCAGATAATTAGGCTGCAACCCTACTAGGAAGGTAGGGTTTTAGTAAGGTACGTACTGGGATATTAGATTCCATTCCTGCATTCTCTGATTCAATGTGGAACATCTCTGGAACAAGCAAAAACAAAGATTCTGTTGAAACTAACTTCATTCAAGATTGAGATAGGGTGAATTGAGAGCAACGTGCAGTCATGATAAATCCATTTTGAATCCTGCTCCAAACTAAGAAACACAAACACAACTTGCCACTTACCCATTTGTTGTTGAATGTCTGGACTTTGAACATGGCCAACCTAGAATAGAAATGACAAGTTACCTCCCTTGATCTTGCAGTAACAAGTGGAATCAAGTGAACAGACATTCCCATGGAACTGATCACAACAACTTCTTCAATCTTTATGATATTGGCACAACGATTCTCGAGATAATTTGATAATTTGATCTTAAGAATACCTCGAGTGCTACAATATGTGTCACCACTTACCATAGCAACGCGTTGTTTCGATTCTGTATGTTTCGTTATCCCCAAAGCTGAAAGATCAAAAGAACAAACAGAAACTACAATTAAGAATCAGATATTGTGAAAATGTTTTACAGCTGCTGTACTACACATTTCTTTTAAATATGGCAATATCTGAACTGTCATTTCATTTCCTTTGGTACAATATATAATAGGTAGATAAATAACTAGATACAGATGGTGAATGGAAAGATAAAGAGCGGGTGCACGAAGATGACAGAGACAGAATGAGAGATGATTAGCATGGCAGTGAGGCACAGAATTGGGTAGTTGGAGAGCGGATAAAGAGAAGAAAAATCATACGAAAAATGGATGAGTGTGAGAGAGTGAGTCTGGTTTTATGCCGCTTTTAGCAATATTCCAGCAATATCACGGCAGGGGACACCAAAAGTGGGCTTCACATACAGTTCCCATGTGGGTAATCGAACCCGGGTCTTCGGCGTGATGAGCGAACGCTTTAACCACAAGGCTACCCAATCGCCCCGAAACATGGATGGAGAACTGAATGGAGAGATGAAGGTTGGACAAAGCTTCTGTGTTATAAGAGACACTATACATTGGATCGATGGTCAAGAATGGAAGTTGGACAGGTGAAATGATGGAGGGACACTATCAAATCCGGCAGTATTTATTTGGCTACAGAGTGTTAGAGGCGTATGGTTATCATCTGTCTTATTACCAAAACAACAAACCTTCTCTCAAGAGGACATTTTTAACGTCTTTACAGATCCAATCCGTTTTATCTTCGATTATGACCTGAAACAAAATACATAGATTACTCACACTGGGTCTTTCATCATCAGGCCTTGATTGTTAGTCACTACTTTGTTTGCGATTCATACACAAGCTCTCTACAATTTCTTACCGATCTGAGAAGCCGGACAAGATTTTGCCTTTCTCTTAATCCGTCATGTAAGTCTGACAACCAAGCCTCTTGTGTAGCAGACAGTTGCTTGAAACCACCCAAAGCTGAAATGAATAAGAGTAAATAAGTAACAAATTATCACATACATCTAATATAATCGTTCCAGATGTGACCACAGCTACTCACATGCATACTGACCTTTGCTTGCTGTAAGGGGGCTTGGCTTGTATTCCAGAGTATGGCGTACTTCATGAGCCTGCAATGTGTCAAAGTGGTATAAATACACAATCACTATTTGGTATACGTTATCACACAGACATATCTTTGGTAATATGTCTGCCTTATGTCCATGTTTGGAACATGGTTGTAAATGTAAAGTAACAAATAACGGTAGGTTTCTATTAATGGACCAAATGGACAGGATTTTGGTCACACCTCTTCTTAAGATTACACCAGTAAACAAAACAACGTATGATTATATGTAGAATATAACTTTAAACAAAATCAACAAATGTCAGTAAAATCCTGAAGGAACTTACATAGGACATAGGCCCTGTTGATCCCAGTTTGAAACTAAATATTTTCAGCACACTGAAGTCCCTGAGGATTTGTTCAATCCGTTCCTTCCAAGATTCTGTAATATTGTTGAAAATAGAAGTATAATAATCACGCTACACTAACTCATGAATGTACGATTTTTACTAAAATCTGACCATTATGTTTATTGAGGTTGTTATTTGCACAAGATCCGTTATTCACATCATCATAAGCTGGTTTATTATGAACACTTACCATCAGATAATGCATCTATTTGTTTCTCCATCCCTTCGACTTCCTGTTTAAATAGAATAAATGAAAGCTTTGTTTATAATGAATCACTCGAGATCTAGAACAATACAACTTCACATTCATGGAACATTTTAACCTTCCATTTTAACCTTCCATTTTAACCTTTCCTGATAGCGAATCAATTATTGGAATGAGATGAAATTTCTCTACAGAAGTCTGGTTTGGTTGGAATGCTAACGTATGTGGATGAGTGATCATGAAGGTGAGTCTCTTGATGAGACCAGTATTCAGTTAATATGGTTCATCTTTTTGAAAATTATTGTTACAATAGGTAGTTTGGGGAAATGTATTCAAACCCCATATGGTAGCAAACTGCGGACTTATTTGAGAAATATTATGCTATTACATGTTTCGATGCATTTATTTGTTTATGTAGTAAGAAGCATCTCTAAACCCTGACACCAGGAACTTATTACAGAAGTGTACATTACCATTTCTACCTCCAATATTTGGGACTTCTGTTCCTCGATATCAGTTAGATCTGAAGTGAAGAAAGTCCAAGTCTTCAACAAACTAAAATGATTGTTCCATACGAAATAATTGTTTTGCATCACCAGTACATAAGAACTACTGTGGATATTCTGACCAAGTGTTGTTTGTTCTCGTTCTCTCCCGAATCTATCAAAATAAACATCCTTTATGACCTGATATGTTGGTGTGTGTAACAAAGAAAGAGTCTTGTATTTTATTACAAAGTACCGAGCATTGTCTATTCAGAGTTCTATGAATATGTAAATATACTCACTGGTTGTAAACCGCCAATGTTGTCCACTTGTTTGTACCATGACTGTGTTGGTTTCATCGACTATATTCACACAAGAAGACATGTCCACCATACTGAGATCCTCTGCTGCTACAGCTGATGGGTACACCGACCTGAAACCAGGTTTGTATAAAAACTTAAGCACAGGTTTCAAGTAATCATTCAAATATTGGGGCATATCAAAGTAGAGACTTCTTCCTGAGGACGCACTTACGATGTTCATTTTTTGGGTTAGAACATTTGTTAATTCGTGACTGGATTCGACTACCAATGTTGCCAATGGCAATAACACCTAACTACATCCACTGACTAAAATAACAAACCTGAGCCTGTCCCTCTCCTTTCGTGACCTACATACAAGCAGAGTGTCCCCCAGTCTGTTCAGTCTCCTGGCCATCTCCAGCATCAGAGTTGTGGCTCCACTACCGGGCATACACTTGACCTCGACGTCCTTACTGTTGATGTTCTCCACCAGAATGATACATTGTTCTTTGGTGAGAAATCTTAGACAGTCGCCATCAGTGTCTCCACTTTCGTCTTTTAGCACCGACTTCGTTTCAGCAACACCAGCCCAGAAAGCAGTCAGGACTTTCTCATACCTACTGGGAGTCATTACCAAAGAATTGTTTGTGACAAAATGAGAAGAATCATTTGCCAGCTTCTTCAACCGATTCTTAAATCCAACAACGTCCTCAAGGAGAGAAATGGGAATGACTCCATGGATTGACTTTATATCCTCATCAGTGAACTTGCTAAGTGTCTCTTTCACTCCTCTCGCCACTGACATACTGTATGTCACTGCTTCAGGACAGTCTTCATCCCCATCAACCAGTGACAAAACTATCACAGACTGTGTAGGCAGAGCCAGGAATACATCACATACCGTGTTGCTTGGTCGGGGCGATGTGTAGAAATCTAACGCAACTGCTAAAGACTTGGATAAGAACATAAAGCATGGTCCAGCCTTTGGGACTGGGAGATCTACTACTTCGTTGGTGAGAGGATCAAAAACAAAGTCGTAAGCATGATTTTCTATGTGTTCGATGAGTCGTTCTTTCACTTGTGCAAAGGGGTGCTTCAGTTTTGTTGGTGCAATACTCTGGCCAACTGAAAAAGAAAACCAAATTATACATCTTGATGGAAGTATGTTCGTTACACATGGAATGGTCCTGTGCCAATTTTGTGACACTGCTTAGACACGAGTATAACAAAAGAGAATCATAATGGGACAGGAATTCTACACATGAGCAAACCAAATATGGAAACTGAAGTAACTGTGTTTTAGAGGGCACTGGCAAGCCTTTTAGGGACAATACGTCTTAGATATAACACAACATCTGATTAACATCCATTTGCAAATGGCTCCAATATGAATCAAAATGAGCAAGGAACTGCTACATGCTTTATGGTTTGCTACAAGTATTGAAGGCAAGTCTACGTCAGCGATCTACTAAGTTTTACAATGATTTAGTTACCCTTTTCAATAAAGTAACTTCTGATTTCAAAGAGACTGTTTCCAATCTGTTTCAGGCCAGGACGAAAGATTTGATTTGTCCTAAGATAAAGATCCTGCTCATCCTCCTTTGTGATATTTTGCTGCAACATAAAGTAAAGGTTATAAATAATAAATGAAACAGAGGGAAACAATATTGTTGATAAATGTGACGTGCAACAGCCTTCATCTCTTTAGGGAAACATTAACGGGCTTGTGATTGTCACGTATCTGTGGATATGAGATGGTGTTTGCCTTTAGCAGCTTTATAGCTAATTGTTGTACCAAATATATATGTACTTACCAGAAGCTTCCACATCCTGCCTGCAATAATCAAAAGTCGAGACATGAAGAATATTGCAATAAATATTTCCACCGACCAGTAATACAATACGTTCTCTATAAAGATCACTCGAATATAACATTAGATTATTTAGTGAGTCACGATAAATTCACCTTTTCGCAACATCTTTAACTGATAATGATTCATAAATACATACAACCTCATGATAAAGTCGGATTCGTACACTTCGCAGCAACGTTACAATATCATCTCCGTCACGTATGATTACGTTCTTAAAAAATCGGTCTTGAAAACGAACATTACTGGTCTGTGTTCAACTAACTTGTATCTTTCGTAAACATAACCTGCTTGTTATATAAACTATATCATTTCATGCCCCAAATCACACTTTTTTTGTATTGTAACAGTTTCTAGTTTTTGGTTATGGGTAATACAATCTGAAACCACATAAATTACACGCGTGCTGTCGACAATTGTTTATTCCTTACATTGCAATTTTGTATGTTTGCACATGCATATTTGTTGGATTTTTTACATAAACAGTTCCTGATTGCTTTCAACTTGCACTCAACTTCATTCGACTCGTGGTGGCGGTGGACATCTTAGAGGCAGCTTTTATTGACGGGAACGTCACTCACCGACATCAGACAAACCGTACCCCCTACCCATGTATGTCAATCCATGCTAGGCATTTATTTAAATAACTTGTTAATTTTCTTGCTTTTTGTGTTTCCTATACTTTACGTGTTATCATCAATGTATTTAAAGATCTAAAAGTGCTTTTGGTTTCATGAATCGCATCTTGCAAACTCAACGACTGCAATTGTCCACTTTCATTGAGAATGACTGGAAAAGGTAGTTACATAAGAAAAATGTAAAATCCTGTTTCTGTGAAAATTGCACATAGGAAAAATTGTGGTCCAGCACCGACAAAATATGCCAGCTCTCAGGCGCCTTGTTTTTCACACGCGAGATAAATATCGCCATATATATTACGTACACATCAGGAACACCAGGTAACAAGAAGGATGTTTGACTGCATTCGTGACCAACTCGTGTTATTCAGGGACAAGGCGAATAGGTCACGGAAAGAGGCGAATATTTACGAATGGAATGGTTTGACTGAACAACTTAGTCAGACACCGATTACCTCTGATTAATAGCTCGCTTATCCTGTCACTTCCACGCGAGACGGCTTCGCGCAGTTTCGAAAAAAAGTAAATATGTTTCAACGCAATAACAAGCAGGTGTGCGTTCGTGTGCTTCAAAAACTGTTTATGTTGATTCTACGATAAATGAACTTTTGGAAAATACTAAATTTAAGTTTATGAAAAATATGCTAATAGCTCAAATTCGCTGTTACAAACATTTTGCTTACATTTTTCACACATTTTTGAAAATTTGACTATTTGATATTGATTTTTACGTTTTCATTCATGTTATTCCTTAATTTGAAGAGCTGTCAAAGACCAAATTTACTTCATAAGTTTCATGAATAACACTTTTAGATGCTATTTTGTGTGACATGTAGATTTTCCCAGTCTGTGGTCAGGCAGTCAAGCGAATGAGTGACATCCCAGACAGGTGGTCAAACCATTGCAACACTTATACCTAAAATATCATTTGTCAGTAAACGTGAATGGGAGTTATTTACAACAAATCAATGAATTCCTTTGTTCCCTGTTTTAAGTAAAAAGGAACGTATTCTTGGGTAAGTCACTCTCAAACAGTAATTCAAACTTTGGAATGTAATTTACTGAAGAAACTGAGCACTTTAAAAATGAAGATGACACATTCTGAGGTTCTTCTCCCAAACTGTGACGTTCTTTACACACAAGTTATGGAAATTTTGAGGCACTTTATATTGTGTGACAAATTAAAATTACCATTGAAATATTAGTTTGTGAAGGCTTCATTTCATTAAGTTTTAATTACCTTTCTCGACATGAAGTAAATGGTATATCCAATACTCGAAACTCACCTAAACCAAGATTATTCCACATATCTAGATAATACAGATTTTAGTAGGTGAGATGAATTTAGGCGACATTAGTAACTTACCGTCGTGTGTTACATCAGTTTACTTCTGAGTTACTCTTTGTAAGAGCACGTACCCAGTCCTTGATATCTATCCGTGTGATCAGTTTGAATTGTTTGTCATATACATATGCAAGCGGTCCTTGTTTGTCATGGAACACTATCCCACTCACTGGTCTGACAGCCACATGAACAATTACAGCATCTTCATCACCATATCCATCATGTACAGGTTCTCCACTGTCTGGCCGATTAACTAATTCCTCCGCTGGTGTGCGTTCCTCCGCTGGTGTGCAAGGAATAAAATGAATTTGGAAAATATTTGGATCTGGGCATAGTTCATTTCCATCATAGTCACAGACCAGGACAGTATTCTTGATGTTATCCCCTAAAGTGTCCCTGAAAACGGTTCTGTCCTTCAGGATGACTGGCTGTATGCGGTTTACTTTAGTCTCATAACCATATCCCATCTTGAAAATAGTTTCCTCATGGACGCCATAAAGAAAGGAACCACCACATTCAGTTTTAGTAAATGCGCTGATATATTCTGCAAGTTTATGATTCTTGATGATGTCCTCTATTATTTTTTGATCTTCTTTCTTTTGTGAAAAGTGACTTTTTATTTGAATTGATCTGTTTTCGTGCACATTCAGAAGGTGATGTGCCCGGGTCACACCAGGAAGTGTATGGAATGTGTTGCTTAAGGGTTTTCTCTCTCTAACAAATGTTCTGAGCGTTTCGGCACGAATATCAGTGATGCAGTCATCGAGTGTTGTCTTCGTATTGAATTTAGAAGTCGTTACAGTTGACGAAGCTCCAACATACAGCACGAGAAAGTCGCCAAAGCCGTGACAAGCATAGTGACTGTTCAGTGTCTGTTTCCTGTAAACATCACAGAACTGTTTTTCATCTTGAATCAACTCGTTAAGTTTTGGGTCAGCAAACTCATCAAATGCGCCAGTGAAAGAATCTTCAGGTGCCAGGCCAACAAGATGAACTAGGACATATCCAGAGTTGGAATTCCGCAGAGCTGATACTTTTCTCAGTAACTCAATAGCTTTACGATCTCTCTTATCCCTTTTTTTTTTTTTCTGTTCTGAGTTTACTTTCCCTTCTCCAAATAAGTACTTGACATGAATCCCGATAGACAAGACATTGCTTTCTGGAGAAGCTCCTTCCAGGAACTTACGAGCTGCCTCCTCACACCGTGGAATATATCTACTGAAATGACAAAAGTGTCAGAATAAATACTTGGGATAAAACGCAAGAAATAAAAAAAAACTCACAAAAAACCCACAACAAATTGTGCATATTCAGTGGTTAAAATGTAATACTTACTTCAGGCACTCTGTGTGAAATACTGCTTTTACTTGGCGGCACTTTGCATGTGCGATATCCTCATTTTTCACATAAACTGACGCGGGATCAGAACCTGTTGGTTTAAGCTCTCCTTGCCTTGTGTATAATATGTCTTCTGTTTTCACACAGACAGTCACTTGTTCAAATCCTACTGGGGTAAGATCACTTTCTTTCCCATACTTTATTTCTTCGTTCCTTGCATAGGTTGAAACCCGATCAAATCCTGTAGGGGGGCTGTCACCTTGTCTTGCGTATTTTACTTCCCCATTCTTGGTGTACACAGTAACTTGTTCAAAACCTTCTGGTATTAAGTTCTGGTTCCTTGCATATACTATGTCTCGATCCCTGACAGAAACAGTTACGCATTCAAAACCTTTCGGCAATAAGCTCCTTTCTTTCAGATATGTGATTTTGTCCCCTTTGACAAATACCGAGGCACATTCAAAACCAGCTGGTATACAATCCTGCTTTGTCACATAACGCACGTCCACATCCTTGTTGTACACATTTACACCTGGTGAATCTGGCTGTATTTCATCTCCACAATAGTCACATAGTATCATAGCATCTGGAAACCTGGTGTTAAAGTTTCACATATGAACATATTTGACTGTTAATACAGCTCCCACAGAGGCACAAGCACAGATAGCATGAAACGGAGACGTCTGTCAAACTGCGCCGTACATAATGTGGTATTGACTTATACACATGCGTGTCAACCACGTCAGTACATCACGTGATACACAGCCAATGAGCGTATACTTATCCTGCACAGCCACATTGTATGCAATGCTTTAAGAATTTGACCCGGTTTTGCAATGAAAGAAAAACAACCAGTTAAGAAAAAGAGTGAAACTTGCCACACTGCCTATTGCATACAATATGTTTTAGGTAATCTGCATTAACAGTGTTTGACTGCTTGTTTGATTGTTTGATCGTACAATACATTACATCTAACTATGCATATGAGCTTTACATTACCGCTGCGCGAGCGAAATGTTCACATGACTCATGTCATTATGCAGGATTAGTATCGTTACTTGTATTATTCAGGGATGTTGCTGACCCAAGAAGATAGGTTGTATTTGCGGGAGCGTATCGTACCCTACTGGTGGTACCGATCACAAACACACGAAAAGGCAAGTCAATAAATATCAACATGGGGATGTTTGTCAGTGATGCATTAAATGTGGAAATGTCCCTCACCCATTTTTTAACCACTCCATTATTCACCACTCTACCAATTCATCGTTATTATTATTATTACGTTGGTTGGTTCCTAGTTTAACCCGCCAACAGCAATATTCGGCGTCTATATGGCGGCGGACTGTAAATAATCGGGTCTGGACCAGACAATCCAGTGATTAACATCATGAACATCAATATATGCAATAGGGATACGATGACATGTGTCAACCAAGTGAGTGAGCCTGATCACCCGATCTTTGGCGATTAACCAATCAAAAGTCTCCTAATTTATCTAAAGGGAAATAAAAACATATACTGCAAACAAACAAAGAGATTTCAATGTCGCTGTTCTGGTTGGAAAAATTTACAATACCATGGCCTTGTTCCTGGACCGAAATCTAATCACAGTGAAAGTCCACCTCACTGACGAACAGTAGATATCTACGACGAGAAGGCATATGGATATTGCACGGGCCCTTAAGCACCCCAACATGACCCCAATCGTGCATCTGTCTGATGTGTGAATTTGTATCGTAGCCCAACATAGGATGGCTCTTTATAGTGGAGCAGATAAGTGCAAAAATAGTTCACTTAATCATGCAAGCTTGAAATTTGGCACAAATGTTCATTGGAGTCCACTCTTTCAAAAAAGGGCATTAGCCACGTAAAAATCCAAGATGGCCGCCGTCTACACTTAAAATTACTAATAATTACTTTGTATGTTGTAACTACTTCAAGTAAAACAACTTATTTTAATTTTTATGATAAAATGAAGTTGTTTTTATAACAATACCAAAACAATACATAAATCAAATGGCAGTTTTAGCAAAAGAAACAGTCGAAATTGTACCTGAACTAACAACTGCACCCAGAATAACAGAGAAACTACACTTCACATTTGCAACTGCACAAGGTTGTGTATGTGAGACCAAACCGGTAGCATTTGCACCTGCCACGACAGCCAGACTTGCAGCCACACTTAGTGAGCTTTGCAATGGGAGAGTTGTCTGTCCAGAAGGTTTTCCATTCTTCGCCAATCTTCTCCCATCCCCAGTCAGCTGGACTCTCTGCTTCCGGCTGGCGCAGAATTGCCTGAGCCCACACACAACCAGCCTGATATGCTGCACGTTTAGCGTGTTGAATTAGAGCTGCTCTGGTTGGAGGGATGGCTTCATATGGTCTCTGCTTTCTGGCAAATAAGTCGAGTCTAGCCTCATCCACACCATCTACAGTGCTAGACCTGTCATACATGCCTTTCCTTCTCTTGACCAACAGAGTTGTGCAGGTTGTGAATGCCAATCCATCGAAGGCTCTGACCTTGGCCAAATAAGAGCCACAGCTGCTGCAGACCCATGCTTTGCAGTGTTGGGAACAAATTCAGGCCAATCACAAGGACATCTGTGTCATTGGCTTTGATTATGATGGATTTGCTCCCGTGCGTTGCAGCATATCTGGAATGAACAAAGATGCGGCTGTCTGCCTCCTCATGAGAACATTCGTCCAGTTCAGTCAGACTCAACTTGTGTGTGCCAAGTGCTTGGTGTCCCTTTGTCACAATAACCAAGTTTGGTGCAGACTTAACCGTTAAAAATCATAGCTAATATCAGGTTATAACTCATGATATATTGGGTATTACACTTTCTCTTTGTGTGCCGGCGAGTGGGCGCCTGATACTGTAGATGTGGGTTCGAATCCCGGATGGAACTGAATCAAACAAAAATGTTAGAATCTGTTATTTACTTAGAAAGTTTAATCCCCAATATAACATGCGTTATGATATGATATGCTGTGATTTTTAACATATTTTATTCTTTCCTATCAAGTGCACGAAATACAAATAAGGTCTCACGATCTGCCTTAGCACTCTTTTCCTTAAATGCATCGTAGCAGCATGTATGTTTCTTAATAATTAGTAAGATAGTAATCGATATACGTCATATACTACGTCATGTAGTACGAAATATGTCACGATAAAGGTTACTGGTCCCCATCAGGCCAGGCAATTACATTGTCAGTACTATAGAGGTTTACACACGTGCAGTTCCTCCATCAAATTTGACCACATGCTCTTGAAGTACTGTCGATGAAGACAGCGATTCTGAAAAACAGTGAAACAATGACAAGGAGATGTCCTGCAAATGGTCCCATGCTTTCCAGAAGCCCTACGACATATTTGGTCTAAGGTATAAGTCTTACGTTAGATAATATGGGATGAAAGATATCTAAAGGTACCGTTGACGGCGTTACGACTGAGCTACGACCATTGTCCATATGATTCTTCATCACACAACAACGAAGTCGTAAGAAGTCAAGTATTAGGACGAAATACATCTGTGCGAGTGAAATCCATTTCCGTAAATGCTGATCGAATGTATGAGATTGTTGAATATAAGCGACAAAATCCTTTCCATACTCATAAGAAATTTTCCGAAACTGTACGCTTCGGATTACATAATGAGCATAATATTCATCTTAATAGAAGCAACAAAACCCTTTCCACCTCTATAAGAAATTTCTGCTAAAAGCAGAGTCGATTGTACAATTGTGACTATATCATGAGTATATATTTGTTTCAGCAGTATCACAGCTGTATGATGTTGTTTGTAAACCAATCGAGTCTGGATCAGACAGTCCAGTGATTGAGCATGTGTTTATGAATCACTATGAAATAGTGGTGATACCAGGTGTTTGCCAAAAGTGGAATGTATCCTGTCCCACCTATGGCACCCGTCATAAACATATGCTCAGTCCAGTCAATTGTTCACCTGAAATAATTCTGGAACGTATGGTATAAGTCAAAATAGGGAAATGCATCGGACATCATTTTTGTCACTGATGCATGGAAATTTCCCCCACGCGTCTACCATAAAACTTTTTGAAAGATTTACTGAGGACTTGAAGGTTGCATCAAAGAAATGTGACGCATGGTATGGCGCTCTTTGAAATCCTGATAAAGAGAACACGCTCGATTGTACCTCAAACGTTGTGAAATGTGAACACCAAAGGCTGGAGCTGTTAGAATATTGCTCGACATGAATGGGAATTTGACTATTGGACAGTTGAAATCATCCCTTTGGTCATACAGCCCTGTATGACCCTGAGAATGAAAAAAACATGAAAGAGTGATGATACCAGGTGTTCTTGTCTCACTGGTGGCAGCCGTCAAAAACACAAGAAAGGCTAGGCAATCGTCACCTGCGAAATACGGGAATATATGGTTCATATCGAAATAAGGTGTGGCATTAGACATGCTTTTTGTTACTGATGTATCAAAGTTAGAAATGTCCACAAGTTAAAACTAATACAGAAGCTAACGAACATGAGTCAGTAACCAACGTGGTGTGAAAACAACAAGCACTAATGAAATGAACAATTATGTTTGAAATTAGACAGATTTATAAACGAATACAAATTACTACAAAGGTATCTCTATGGCAGTATCATAGTTCTAAAATACGTCCCATTTTCCTCAAACTTATATAAATAATTGTGATTTTATACAATAGGACTAAACAGCACATTTTTATTTTATGTTACTCAATAACGAAAACACTAAAAGTCTGTCTTAGTTAGGATTGATACACACTGATGTTCGAAGTTGTAAGCTAATAAGCATTGTGTGTTAAGCTTTAAGACTACATGCATGGCCCGTCCTAAGTCTGTAAGCCGTCAGTGTCGATATACGCTCGTCTTGATTGCCAAGTTTGATAAGCTTTATGTACTAATCCTTAACACTGCCTGTCCGGAGAGGGAAGTAAACATTACTCTATGATAACAGGCTCTCCAGGACAACTGTTAGATAATTTTAGTCATTTCTGTATTCACAAGTCTTTCAGAGCTACGAGGTAATCTCAAGATTCAGATAGTCATCTGTGTAGATTAGCATCATTTGCAAGTATTGTTTAAAGAAGTGACCGTTGGACGTGCGACCATATCACAAAATCTGACAGCATCGGTGGTATATATAACGGCCTTTATTCGGGGTATTGCACCATGAAATGCACCGAATAAAGACTGGCCACTAATATATGCTTCTCCTGGTCAATTTAAGGTAAGTCCTGTTCACTTCATTCATTGTATACTCTTAAATTATATTAATATGTTCTCTCTTTTCTATTACATAGTGTTAGTTTAAATTAAGCAGTATTGATTAAGTACACCAGGAAATATTTGTATCATAATTATGTCAGGCAATGTAGCACTAATCGAAAAATATAGTATGGTGCAAACTGGTATATGGTATGATAAGTCCAGTAAATCAATATTACATATACCCAGATTCTCCACCATATATAATATTGCTGACCTGATAGTAACCTTTTTAAGGACAGTTGTTTATATTAGGTCTAGGATAATTATAATGCCTAGAGTTTGTTGTCGGGAAATTGGCCTGGGACTGCAACACCTTCAAATATCCCAAGAGAAGCATCTATTAATGCCCAGTCGTTATCTGGTGCATTTCATGAGTCATACATTATATATTAAAAGATCAGAACTATTACAAGCTTGGACAATAGACCGATCCAGTCTGTCAATCAAAACTGGCGCATGCGTCAAATTTGGCCAATCAGCAGGCCGGGCGCGCTGTGTGGATTTGTCAGACTTATTTCAGATGCCTCCGAAGCGATGTGCTTCGAATTATGCCATTTACACTCGCTATATTTATTACATATTGCTGCGATTTGATGTGTACCTTTAACACACCATTACGGTCAAGACAACAAAAATGGAGGCGGATCAAGAAACGCGATAGGCCTAACGATCAGTTAAATGTCTGCACCATCTTTCAGGAAACCTACGTCTGCCTGCTGATGAGAATTTGCACGAATTTCCACATTTTTGCACATGTGCAAAATCATTACCAATTGATGACAACAAAAAGCAGTTTAAGACTTTGCAAGTGTTATAAACACGGACAATTCTCGTAACTACAAAATTGTTTTTGCTTAACGTGTTTAGTCACTACTAGGCATTGAGTTGGTACGCCATAAAGCTCAAATGAGACATGCGAGCAAGCCGTGACACAATGTAAACAAATCTCCATTTCGGTTACGGTCAACCGAAATAGCAAAACTTGTTACATGAAAGAACAATGTGGCGGATATTGTCCCCTTCGCTCTTAGATATTCTTCAATTTGTCACACATTTTAGGATGTTTTAAGTTTCATAAGCACAATCTGAAGGCCTACAGTATCTTGTTAACAGAGCAAATTATTCGAGGAGTAATATTTTTTATTCAAACGGAAATATTGTCAGTGTTCAGCAGTTGCCTATCATGCAATATCCAAGTATCAAACTTAATTCATATGAGTGCCTATAAAACCTTGCTTTAAATATTACAGCTTTTTTATAAAGAGTTGCATGGGACTTTGAATTGAATTACCTTCCTCCATGTTGATCGAATACGAAAACTATGTGAGAAGAATAGTGATCGACTTTCTGGAGTATTGGACGGAGTGAACTAAAGTGTATATCTTAATTATGAGAACATTATTTGAAGTTTTGTTACCACATAAATTATTCACATATATTGGTACATTCTAGGAGTAATATTACAACTGGAATTTTGATTAATTCACTGGAAATGATAGCAAGGTATGTTTTAAGAATCTTGCTTTTTTAGTAAACGTGGAAGGGTAATAAAATTAATAATAATCTAATCAATAATAAATAATTATTTGATTGATTGACATATCAGATTCTTATGATTTTAAGGCAGAACTAGGCAAACAAACACCATACACATCATGGCAGGACAATCACTTGGTATTAACTTAGTTTCTTGGCTCCTGCTTTTAGATGTGTTTTTTTAAATACTACATTTACAAATAAGATAATTCTGAAAGTGATTGCTACTATCATAACTCATTTAAGTTATGTCAACATCCAGAGAATTTGAAAAGCAAAGGCTACGTTTTGGTCAACCCTGGTCAGGCATTATCCAATCCTGGAACAGAATAACTTACAAAAATCTCAGTTGACTTTTCATGTAGCGGAATAAATATTGAAACATATATTTAACCCATATTTGATGTAATTCTTCTGATAAATCATCAGTTTTTTAGGAGGTTACTGATATTTGAAGACTGAGCCAAAGCTAGTGTTTACTAAGATGATGGATTTGGACAAATTGTTCAAGGTTTGTTGATGGTTATTTGGAAAATGAGTTTCATATTTAATTGCACACTGGTTTGTAGGAGGTGAACGCTTCAGGACATTTTCATGTCTGTTTTCCTAAACCTTTGTTATGACTTTGACCAAATTTTGAATCAACTTTACTATAATTCTTATGACACCAGTAAGTATCTCAGAAAAGGAAATAGATCAAAATCAGTGTTATGTCCTCTAGGGATATGGTCTCAGATCTAATAAAACAAAGCTTATCATTGTTTAATTAAGAAGCAATAATGTCAATATGTAATTGTATTGACAAAAAGCTTTGAACTTAGGATATATTCTTTGCACCTTATTTACACTAGTAGTTAGCAGTTAAACATCTCTGATCAAAAAACAATAGATCTACATTTGTATTTTGTGTAACATTCTACTTCAATGCTAGTTAATTGTTCGGAAACCTGTGGATCCTCTGTTCCAAGATTTTGCATCACATACTTCCTATTTCTGGAAGATGGGTTAGCTAGTGTACAGGTGCAGACTGTATCTCGGATCTTCTTTGTGTTCTGGTGCTGTGACATACCTGTACATAAACGCTGGCAGTTCATGAAGTCCAGTATTGTGGAAGTTTGTATGTAAATTAGGATTCAATAACAAAGTACATATAGAAAAATAAGATGGAGATGATGATAAAAAAAAATATTTTCTTATATTCAGTGTCATTTTATCACGGTGTACAGATTTTGAAGAGAGAAACTTTACTGAGAATTGCTGCAGATTAGCTGTTGAATATTTGCTTCTGGGTATATCCAGATACGTCCATGGAAACATACTGTTTACAAGCCCAATTACCTTTTCCAGATTTTCAAATAAGATCAAATAGGTTATGCTGTGATTGATTTGTTCACATTAATTATATACAGACAAATAAGGTGCATGAAGTAGTAGACAGGAAATATTTTCTGCTTTTTATTTACCATTCTC